GCTTTGATAAGGAAGTCAGGGTGCAGGGGGACATATCCATCCCTCGTCCCTGAGACTTAGATGGGAGGTTCTCTGGGGATCCCATGGTGAGTGTCACCCATCCCGTGGAGTCCCCTGTCTTTTAGTTAGTTAGTTATTTGACAGAGAGAGAGAGAGAGAGAGAGATCACTAGTAGGCAGAGAGGCAGGCAGAGAGGCGGGGGAAGCAGGCTCCCTCCTGAGCAGAGAGCCTGGTGTGGGACTCGATCCCAAGACCCTGAGATGACCTGAGCTGAAGGCAGAGGCTTAACCCACTGAGCCACCCACGTGCCCCGCCCCCTGTCTTTATACAGGAACACTTCTATATGGCCAGGAAAGAAGTTGTAAGCCCTCCCAGTCTTCTCTCTGCTCTCAGTTTATGGTTCCTCCCACAAGTGTCCTCTCAGTAAGACTTTGAGAAGTTTCTGGGGGGAACAGGGCCTTATACCCCCCTGTGCCTCACTTGGCCTTGGGCACGGCAGGGTGAGGCCACTGAGCTCTTCCAGCTCAAAGTCAGAGGACGCGTTGGCAGGCGGGGAGAGCTCCAAGCTGGGAGTCCGAAGGCCCCGATCCTTTACGGATCCATGACCTTGAGCTTGCTGGGGTCTCAGCTTGCTTCCACCATCTGCTCGCGGGGGCGCGGGGGGCGGGGGGGACACGACGACTGTCCTCGCCCGGCTTCATGCTCTCCCCACTTCCCTCCCTCCCAGAGCTGTTGTGCGTTCGGAGCAGATAATGGATGTGAGGCCCCAGGGTTCCGTGTAATTCTGATTAATATTAATGATTCGACACGCAGTTGCCTGCTGCGTTCCAGGCCCTGGGCCAGCTGCCTCTCCGTGCGGGGCTGCGGCGAGAGAGCACTGGACCTCTCCCCTCCCCTCCTGGGCGTCCTCCACCATCTGAAGGGGCTTCTGATCGCCCCTCTTCCCTCTGCATCCCCCAGATCTTCTCCCTGGGCCACTGCCCCAACCAGGACTGGCTGGCCGTGGGCATGGAGAGCAGCAACGTGGAGGTTTTGCACGTCCGCAAGCCCGAGAAGTACCAGCTGCACCTGCACGAGAGCTGCGTGCTCGCCCTCAAATTTGCCTCCTGCGGTGGGTCTTCGGGCTTGGGCAGGGCTCCAGGGCGCTGGGGCGGGCTTGCCAACACCAGCACACCACAGACAGCCCACATGGCCAAACGCAGGATGCCGGTAGGATTTGAGTCTTAGCAGATCATTTGTTAGTTTAAGTTTTTCCCAAGTATCGCACTTGTCTGTTCGCACAAATAGATCCTAAACTGTGCGTGAGATATACTTACACTTGAAAAAAAAAAAAAAGCCAAATGATTTTTAGTGTAAGTATGTCCTGAGGATTGCCCAGGACACACACATACGCTAAAAATAAATAATAAATCGTAAGATACGGCGCATCTGTAATGAAAGCGATTTATGATTTTTTTCCGGAGATTTAAGCGTAACCGGACATCCCAGATTTTATCCGGCCGCCCTCTCCTGGGGGCCACCCCTGCTCAAAGGCCAGGTGGAGCCCCGGGGGGCCCAGTGTTCCCCCGCCAGAAAGGGAGCAGCCAGCCCCCGGTCGTCTTCAACACGCCCCGCCTCCCTTCCCCAGGGCGCTGGTTTGTGAGCACCGGGAAGGACAACCTGCTGAACGCCTGGAGGACGCCGTACGGGGCCAGCATTTTCCAGGTAGCACAGCGTCGGGCGGGCAGGCAGCGCCGGGCAGGTCGCCACGCGCCTGGGGCCCCAGGGTGGCCTCGTTGGGGGGGCAAACCGGAGAACTTCCCCGGGTCCTCCCATCCGTCCTCCCACGCCAGCCCCAGCCAGCAGGCACTAAGGCAGGGTCTGCGCACTGGCCCGCGGGCCGTATCTGCCTGCAGCCTGGGTTCTTTTTTTTTGTTTTTAATTATTTGTGTACTTAACTTTTTAAGACGTAAAATTTGCCATCTTAGCCATTTCAAGTGTACTGTTGAGTGGCACTAAGTGCATAGGCACCATCCTGCAGCCACCCCCACCACCCGTTTCCAGAACTTTCCATCCCCCCACACGGAGACTCTGTCCCCACGAAGCACGGACTCCCCACCCCTGCCCCAGCCCTGCCTCCCACCCTCTCCTCTCTGGTCTGTGTGGACGGGACTCCTCTGGGGCCCTCCCGGGAGTGGGGTCCTGCGGGACGAGAGCTTCTGGGTCTGGCCGCTCTCACTGAGCCCCGTGTCCTCGGGGTCCCTCCGCGTGATGGCAGGGGTCAGGGTCCTTCCCTTCCTGAGGCTGGACGGTGTTTCCGCGTGGGGACAGACCTAGCGGTGTTTATCTGTCTACCTGTCGATGGAAACATAGCACTTGCAGGCTCAAAACTGTCCACATCCTCACCGACACTTAGTGTGTCTTTTTTGGTCCCAGCCATCCTAGTGGGTATGGGGGGACTTCTACATTTTTTAAGGGCAGGAAAACAAAAGGGGAATCATGTGACACAGATTTGGCCTCTGGACTTGCTGGCTAGAGATGGATCTGGACCAGCCTGAGAACTTCGTGCTGGGCCCTTTCAGGGAAGGTTCGGCGCCACTGGTCATTGTGCCGTGAGCGTTAGCTGGCCCTCTGCAGTGCTGTGTGGCCTCAAGCCCACTGCCCACGCTCTCTGAGCTTCCTCCAAAGGGGCAGGGCTGCAGTTCCATCCCTCTCGGGGTCAAGAACACAGAGGTCCTGCCCTTCCCAGGAGCACTGTCACCTGTCCAGAGGCTCGATTCTAGTGGACCTTCTTCCGGAAACATGTGTCATCCTCCTTTCCCCCAACTGGGAGAGTCCTGGCGCCCCACCATGGGCTCCTGTGTCCCGTGTCCCGTCTTGGCCCCGGCTCATCCTTGCGGGCAGGCTCTTACCCAGTCGCCCTGCCTCTTCCCTCTGAACATTGTGCAGGGCCCCGTCTCACCTCCCCCTTCTCGCCCTCTCCCCGTCCCTGCCCACAGTCCAAGGAATCATCCTCCGTGCTGAGCTGTGACATCTCTGGAAATAACAAGTACATTGTGACAGGCTCAGGGGACAAGAAGGCCACCGTGTATGAGGTGGTCTACTGAGACCCCCCGCCATCTCCCAGCACCCCTGGCCCTGCTCCTGGGGAAGGGGCATCCTGGACAGAGACCCCGACACCCCCTCTCCATTCATACCTGTGAGTGCTAAGTCTCGTCTGCCCTCTGGCTGACTCCCTCCCACCTTCCCTTGCTGGACGTGGGGCTGGATGGGCAGGTGCACTTTGGGGAAATAAATGTATTTATCACAACTGCCTTTCTCTCTTGGGCTGGAGAGCCAGCGACTATGGCTTTTCTCGCACACCGTTACTGGGGAGGGGTGAGTGGCTGCGGGTGAGTGGCTCTCCTCCTCTCGGCCTCCCGTTCCTTTCCTGGATGATGAAGGAACCGGTCCTGCCTCAGCGCGGGGTGCGCCGTGAGCAGCTGGCGTGGTACAGGGCAGCACGGCTTAAGGGACAGCCGCGGACCTCCGTGGCTGAACACAATGGACCCTGATCGCTCACTCTTGTCTCCGGGCTGGTGGGGCTCGGCTCCCGGTAGACACCCGGGGCTCCAGGATGGTGGACTTTCTGCCGTCACGACATACAGCTTGGGGGTCTAGCGTCACAGGGGGAGGAAGTCACACAGGCGCTCGGGGCTCTGGCCCCAGAGAGAGCTGCCTGGATCTCTTACTGGCCGCTCTCTGGACAGAGTCCTCCCAAGACGCTGCACACGTACAAGGGGCCGTGGAACATAGGGGAGCACATGGCTCTTGGGGTGCTTGCCTTGGAGACCCCCGGATGATTCCAGGCCCACCCTGAGGGGCTGAGCGAAGCCCACGGTCCCAGAGGAGGGGACGGTGAGTGAGAGCTGACCCGGAGAACGGCCATTGTGGGGGTCGTGCAGGTCCGTGTAGGAACAGAGGGAGCGGCAAAGGCGTGGAGAGGAGGAGTGCGGCCGGCCGGGTGGAAACCAGGCGGGCCGGGTACTCCTCCTCCTGGAACAAGGGGCCAGCCTGGGGGCACGGTCAGCGGGAGGCCAGGAGCCAGCAGGGGCGGGGGGGGGGGGGGGGGGGGGGGTTGCCAGTGGGGGGGGGGCGGGGGTCCGGGGGCACACGGAGCAGAGCCATATACTCGGGTCTGTGTTCTGGAAGCTCCTGTGAGCCTGGGCCGCAGTGGAGGGGCTGGGTGTGAAGCCGGGATGCTGCTGGGAACCTCCCGGACGGAGATGGGAGATGGTGGGGACCCCAGAGGAAACAAGTCACACTCAGGTGGAGTTTTGGAGACACTCTTTGAGGAGAGGGTAATTCTCTGGGTAGAGAAAGCAGAGCGGTGGGCACCTTCTGGGACACCTCTCCTGGAGGGACAGGTAAGCAAAGGTGTGAGAGCCGCCCAGCACAGAGAGGCTGGATGAGAAGCTGTCAGCGACCCTCTCCTGCAGGGCACTGCCGACACTGGGACCCATCACTCTCTGGGGGGTGGGGGGAGAAACGTCCCGGGCACTGGGGGGCCAAGCAGCACCCCTCTAAAGTCATGATGACCAGTGTCCACAGACATTGCCACGTGTCTCCCCTGAGGGATGGGTTCACCCCCAGGTGAGATGCACCTGGGTATCTTGGGAAGGGGGGGACCCCATCCCTGGATCGGAAACCCCCTCTCTGGGAGGTGAGGGGGATGAGCTCAGTGGGACAGGGAAATTGGTGCATGGGCACCCCCACTCCCAACAGGGGTCCGCGGCTCGAGGAGAGTCTCTGTGTGTGTGGGCTCCGGGCTGGGAGACCCAGCCGGCCAAGTCCTCCCAAACCGCTACAGGATGGGCGGGCGGCAGGAAAGGACGCACCCAGACCCACTCTGCTTCTTCGAACTGCTTTACTACCTGTGCAGTGGGGAAGAGACCTGGCCCCCCCCCCACACCCTTCCACCTTGTTGGGGGCAAAGGACAAAAAAAAAAGGGTCCCAAGTCAGGACGACAGGGCCAGGCCCCTCAGTAGGTGATCTGGTACACCGCGGCGTGGTCCTCCGACCCCGTGACGACCAGGCGGTTGTTGCGGGACACATCACAGCACAGGATGGAGGAGGTCTCAGGCACCTGGGGAGGTGGAAGGCCAGGATGAGCTGAGGGGAGCTCACCCACCCCTGCCCCTACCCTCTGCCCCGCAGCTCAAGCCTGGTCCCTCTCAGGAGCCGTGCACCCAGCACCCGGAGCTGAGCACTGCCCCCTGCCCCGCGTCTGGCCCACGGTGGTACCTGGAATACCATGGTCCCCGCGGGCATGCCATAGATGCTGACCAGGTCATCCGTCCCAACGCTCACCCACCACTGGCCTGGGAGGGGGAGGAGGGGACAGGGTCGTGGGAAACCTGGCAGCTGTGGGCAGGGCCTCTGGGGACCTGGGGCACAGAGGGAGACTCCACCTCCCTCATGCCCCCGTGGAGAGCATCACTGAGTGGTTTCTGCTGATGAAGGGCAAGGGGGGCTTAGGGAGGGTGGGGCAGGACCCCAGGGGAGGCTGGGGGCGACAGGGGACTCCCCCACCCGCTCCCGGCCACTCACCAAATGGGGAAAACTTGAGACCCAGGATGGTGCCGTCCTTACACCCCACCATGTGCTTCTGGCCCCCTCGGGTGGGCTGTAGCCACTGTTGGCCACTGGCTGTGCCCACCAGCACCCAGTCTTCCTGGGGACTGGGGGACAGGCTCATTATCTGGGGGGGCGGGCAGCAGGGAAGAGGCCGGTCAGGTCCCGGCCGGGCCTGGGAGGTGGTAGGGGCACAGGGACCTGCCCTGGGGGCTGACCTCCGGCCAGCTTCCTGGCTTCCTGGCCCTGACGAGCAACTTCACACCTCTGGGCCTCAGTCTGCTCATCTGTAAAGTGGGTTGGTCCTCTCTGCCTTAAGCAGTATTGCAGAGACTAAATGGGGCTACGGGCACCCAGTACAGAGCATAGACACGTCTAATGTTATCGGGGCCCGGGGGGAGGCCATTTCTCCTGCCCCATTCCTGCCAGCACCGATCAGACGTGGGGTCTCACTACCTCCCTCCTCCCAACATCCACCTCCTCTCTAGCCCAAGGCCCAGCCCAGCCCACACACCTGAGACTCGAATTGGTATTCCAGGGGCTCCCCGGGGGTCCTCAGGTCCCAGCACCGCAGGCAGGTGTCCAGCCCCCCCGTCCAGATGTTCTGGTCTTTGACAGCAATGCTCTTGGTTCCGTTTGGGGGCCCCGGCAGGTCCCTGGCCAGAAGGGGTATCGGCAAGGGGGCAGGGCCGAGACTCTGAGCCTGGGCCCCAGGAACACCACCCAGCCAGTCACACCCAGGTGACCGATGGGGAAACGGAGGCCAGCCACAATCTGAACTCAGGCCCCCCACTCTCTCAAACGCAAACCGAAGCAGTCAGGGGCTTTAGCCTTCGGACCGCGGCATCCCTGCTCGGGGCCGGGGGTGGGAAGGGGCTTTTTGGGATGAGCCCACGCACCCCTGGGCCTCACCTGACAATGCTCTGGTCCCGCAAGTCCCAGATCCTGACTGTGCCGTCGGTGAAGCCCGCAAAGGCCAGGGTGGCCTCGGGGCCGAAGGCCAGGGCCTGGCAGGTGAGGCCTGCGCAGGGCAGCTCGCCGCTCACACGCAGGGAGGGCGCGGTCAGGTCCCACACGCTCACGCCGGCCAGGTTGTGGCCGCCCGTCAGCAGGGTCGTGCTGGTCGGGGACAGCAGGCAGGTGCGCAGGTAGGCCTGGGGGGTCTGGGGCGGCATGGGTGCAGGTGACCGTCCTCTGCGGTGGCCGGGGCTCTTCCGGCTCCCACGAGCTCTGCCCCCAGAGCCAGCCCCTCTCCTACCTGTACACGCAGGTGGCTCTCGGGGCGCCGGTCCTCCAGCCCCCCGCCCACCAGGCTCCACACTTTGACGCCGCCGCGGCCGCAGGTGAACGTGTGCTGCGTGCAGCTGCTGACGGCCGTGGCGAGCACCGGCTCCCCGTGCTTTAGCGTCCGCATCTTCTCCGCTCCGTGCGGGATGGCCGCCTTCTGGGGTTGCCAGGGCAAGGCATCTGGTCTCTTCCACGTGTCCTCGAAGTCCTCAGGGTCCCAGCATCTTGGGAGGGGAGGCCTCAGGGTCACCAGCCTGCCTGTGAGTCTCTCTGCCCGCAGGGGCCCCTCCACCAAGCCTGAGGAGCTTCATTCTTCAGAAGTTTTCACTCAGGCTCGGCTTCCCAACTACACCGACTTCCCCCAGGGGAAGCCCCTTCGAGGATTCTCCCTCTCCTAGAACCAAACATCACTGCCTTCCACCTAGAATGCTTTGCCCCATTCTAGCAAACTCCTACTCATCTGTCAAGACCCTAACCATTATGCCCCTTCCCTCCAGGAAAGCCTTCTCATCCCCCCTGGGCTCTGCCAGCCTCCAACCACATGCTTGGGATGGTCTGGATCTCCTTCAACACCCTCTTTCCATGGGAGTTCTCTCCTCAAATCCCTGGAACCCAGAACTAGTCATGTGGGGAGAGACGGTGACGCTGGCCTGACCGTAACTACTCAGCCCCCTCAGCTCTGGGTATCGAGGACAGTAGCAGGGTGGTGGGGTAGAGAGGAGACACACTCTTCCTGTCCCCTCTGCCAGGGACAGAGGTACATGACAGGAGGGACAACACAGAGACTCACATGGGCTTCAGGAACCGGTAGGCTCTCCCAGCAGGCTCCTGCGGTGGGACCCGGATCATGCGGAGCCTTATCAGCTCCCTCCGCCCCAGCCCTCTCAGCCTTCATGGAGGCTGCAGCTCGGAAAGGGGCCTCACCTGGGCCATGCGGAGGGAGAGCATCCCTTCGGTGTCCAGGCCTGACAGGCCTGGCTCTGTGCTCTCTTCTCCGGAGCCCTCGGGGGAGCTGGGGGAGGGCTCGGGTGGGCTGGGCACTGGGTGGAGACAAGGCAGATGAATGGCAGGTGTGGGCTTCTCAGGGGCAGGCTCCACCACCCCCCATCGTGCCCCCTCACCACACTGGGATTACCCAAAGCATCTCTGCTCCGTGGTTCCAGTCCTGAGTCCTGTGGTCCTGCTTCCTGGCTCTCCTGTCCACGGGAATTGGGGCGATCAGTTCAGACCAAGTTCAGTTCAGTCTTTTTTTCAAAGATTTTATTTATTTATTTGACAGACAGAGATCACAAGCAGGCAGAGGCAGGCAGAGAGAAAGGGGGGAAGCAGGCTCCCCACTGAGCAGAGTCTGACGACAGGGGGCTCGATCCCAGGACCCTGAGATCATGACCTGAGCCGAAGGCAGAGGCTTAACCCACGGAGCCACCCAGGCACCCCAGTTCAGTTGTCTTAGACCCAGAAAACCTCGGGGAGGCCCAGGCAGTGTAGATAAGACTTAAGACTTGTCAACAGCCCCAAGTCCCATCTTGGGCACTGGCCTGAGTCCTCTCAGGGCACCCGGGACGGAGGACGGAAGCTGTGGACCACCTCACAGGAACCCAGACACCCCAATCTGAGGACCCCCCCCTCCTCAGGGTACCACAGTTACTCACCAGGCCTGGCAACTGCTCTGTTGCTGGGATGGGGGGGGCAGGGGGGAGTAGGACAACATGATTCAGTGGTGCTGTCCCCAGGCTGTCCCCGACACAGCCCCAGGCCGCCGCCATCCCCCACCCCCAGGGAGACTCACTCCTGCGGCGCTGGTCCCTCCTGTGGGTTCCCGCAAAGATCTGCCAGAGCTGCTCGGTCAGAACGTCCTGCCAAAACCGGGGCTTGGGGTCCCAGGGGGACTGCGTGTCCAGCGTGGGGGGCCCGGCGTCCGCTCTGTAGGGCTGCCTCAGCCAGTCTGAGGACCTCGCGGCCAGGACATCTTCGAAGGGTGGTCCCTGGAGCCCGGAGGGCTGTGGGGTCTCGGCCTCTGGATGCAGGGAAGTCTCGGGGCTGGCCTGTCCCACAAAGTGCGGGGTTGCCAGGGGATGGAGGCTGTGCGTCAGAGCCGGTCCCCTCCCTCCTCCAGGGCCCAGGCACCCACCTCCGCAGGCTGGAATCCCAGGGCCTGGCTCCAGGTCTCCACTGTCCGCAGGAAGTTCTCCGTCTGGATGGGGAAGGAGCAGGGGGAGGACACATCCCAGCTAAGCCTTTGTCATGAGGCCTGAGTGCACACCTCAACCAGCAAGCTGGCTTCCCAGTGCGTGAAATGGGGACCACGACACCGGGCCTGCTTTGAAGGTTCTGGGGGTGGATTCACGATGATGCGGAGCCTAGAGCCAGTTAGTTTTTCATACTCAGAACTCCGCAGCCAAACCCTGAAGGCCGGCCATCACCCTCAAGGGGTAGAAAGCGGGGTCCCATCTGCGTTCCCCTCCAGCTGCTTTTCTTAGGAGGTTTGAAGACTAAAGCCTTGGAGCGCCTGGAGGCTCAGTCAGTGGAGCCTCTACCTTCGGTTCAGGTCATGATCCTGGGATCCAGGGATGAGCCTCCTGTCTGGCTCCCTACTCAGTGGGGAGCCTGCTGCTCCCTCTGCCCCTCCCCCCACTCATGCTCTGTCTCTCAAATAAATAAAATCTTTAAAAAGCAAGCAAGCAGGCAAAAGCTTCAACACCCCTCTGCTTAAAATGGCTTCGAGAAGCAAAGTCGTCAGTACCCGTGTTGTTCTGTGTACCGACATCTGAACTTAAGTGTCGGGAGGACACTCAGAAACCAGTAATCACCTCTCGCGGAGGAGGGCCAGTAGCAGGACAATAGGGGACCCCGTGGGAGGGTCACAGCCCTTTATACTTAAAAATCAGGCCACGTGACTAGCAGCAATTCCAAATCTAAGTGAAGAGTTTCCATGGGCCTCGAAGGGCTTGAGGGCTCTAAGTGTCCCCCAATCTGACCCGCAGGCATCGGCCTGTGACTTTAGAAGACACGCTCCTTCCTCGAGACGCAGCAACCAGCCACAGATGGTTATTCGATACACAGTGAAGTCCGGTTAAAAATGCAACGTCTCCAGCCCCACTCAAGTGCTCAACGGCCACGTCGGCCCAGTGGCCGCCAACATGGATGGCACAGGCGCCAAGAGCACAGGTGCCCAGTGTGTGCCTGGTGGCCGGGCAGAGGGCAGTGTCGGCGATATGGGAGCCTCCTGGCCAGTGTCCCCAGAAATCCAGAACAGGGAGACCGAGCTTCTGGGTCTGATGAGCAGCCCTATGGGGACGCGCGTGTGCAGCTCTATTTAGTGAGTGCGGGAACGTTCTAGGCCTGTCTAACACGGTAGCTGCTGGCTTCGCGTGGCTGGTGAGCACGCCGAACGCTGCTGGTTTGAAGGTCAACTTCAGTTTAAATAACGCACGTGTCCCATGGCCACCAGAGATCTATGTGCCCTAAGCTTCGCCCTTGGGCCTCAAGGAAGCACGCCCCTTGGTGGTGGACGCCAGGGAGCTCCCCAGAGTGGGCCCGACCAAGGCAAACTCCCCAGGCCTGGGGACAATCCTGATTCACAAGAAAGAAGGAAGGAAGCAGCCTGAGGGCCAGCTGCGGTCGGCCCCAGCTCCCAGGAACTCCTGGCATTCCCATTTTGCAGAGGAGAAAACAAAGGCCCACGGTAGCAAAGCCAATTTTCCCAAGTCAGGAGGACCAGGGGCCAGGCCGTGTTTCCTGCATCCTGGGCAGGCAGGCAGAATGGCGAGGGAAGAGGGGCCGGGCAGCGGGACCCCCCCACCTCTCTGAGCCCACGGCTGGGGGGGCTGCCTCCTGGGGCAGCCGGTGATGGGTTCCCCAGCTGCGCCTCCCAGCAGCACAGACCCAGGGGAGCCTTCCCCAATCCGCCCTGGCTCGTTAATGCGCAATTTACTGGCACTTGAACGAACTCAGCATGAAAAGCGCTGCTCCCTCCTGCCTGCTGGCTGGCTGGCCCTCCCCAGGGAGCGGGGAGCACTCGTGGAGCAGGCAGGGCCACGGAAGGCTGCTGGGATTTTAAATGCACGGCGGGGAGGCTGGGAAAACAAGGAGCTGAGACAGAGGGGAGAGGACAGAGGGGAGTCTCGGCGGGACGCCAGGGCCAGCAAGGCCCCTGGGTTGAACAGCGGCTATCTGGGGCAAAACCCACCCCTCCGAAAACCCCTGAGCTCACAATCTCCTCTGTTCTCACCACCAGCTCCTCACCTAGATGGTCCTGTTCTCCCGCCCTGCCCAGACTCTCTCCTCCAGAGGGCGCCTGTGCGCACAAGTCAGGTCCCCCACGCCTACCCCTAAGGACTCCTAGCTCCCCGGTGGAAAAGCCCAAGTCCGCTCCACGGCCCCCAAGATGCCAGGGCACCTGCCCTGTCCCCTCCTCATTGCTCCAACCACAGGGGCCTCCTCTCTGTCCCTCCAACACAGCAGGTGCTGTCATGCCCCAGGACTTTTGCACGGGCTGTGCCCTCTGTCCATTCTGCGCCTCCCATCCAAGGGAGCTGCATGCCCTCTGTGATCCTTCAAGAGTTTGCTCAAATGTCACCTTCTCAGCAGGCCTTGCACTCCCACCCCTTCCCCCGTGTCCCCTGGGGCTGTGCAGAATCCATCCCTGCACCTTGCCCAGCCCTCACCATCTGACACTTCTGTTTACCAAGCTCCTGTCACCCCAAGGGCAGAGGTTTGCCTGTGTCCTTCTCCGCGGTTTCCCTGCCGCCTACAACGGCACTTGGCAAGGAGGTAATGGCTAGAGGACTGCTGAATGGATAACCGTGTTCTGGATGCTTCCTGGCCCCCCTCATTCTGGATCCGTCTCTCCCAGTTCCCCGCGCTGCCCACCCCGGGCCCTGCTGAGCTGCAGACACGGCCCTGGCCTTCTGCCAGTCACATCTGGCACAGACAGAGAGTCCTGCCAGCACCCAGGAGAAAGGGGCCAGGTGGCAGGAGGACAGGCAGGACTGCAAGACGTGCTTCAGCTTGGGCAAGGCGCCCCGTGCCGGGAGACGGCACCCCCTCCCCGGGCCCGTGCAGACCTGCCTCCCCACCAACCCCGTTCACGTGTGAGACACCCTCGAGAACACCTGGTTGCCCGGAAGGCCGTAATCCGGGTGCGCCTGGCACATGACAGGCCCTCAGGGCGGAAGCAGCGGACGCCAAAGTGCTGGAAAGGGCCCTGGCTTCATCTGAGCCACACCGGGAGCTGGGAGCGGGCCAGGAAGGAAGACACTCCCTGGGTGGGGGGGCACGGGGAGGGGCGATCCAGGGATCCCTGGGGCATCCCAGGTCAGGTCCTGCCCCCCTCTGCCCGCAGCCCTCCAGGGCTCTCACTTCCTTAGGGGTAAAAAGGCCTCCCCGGTGTCCCCGCAAGGGTCCCCACAACCAGGCCTGGTCATGACCTCTCGCCCTATTTTTCCCTGCCTTTCGAGGAAGGGGAGCCGTACCCCTCCTTGGGTCCTGGTGACCCACTTACCTGCTTGTGATGCTCCTGGAGACCCTGCCGGATCTTCTGGAGCTGCAAGGGAACGGAACAGGAGCTGGGGTGGGGGGCGATGGAGGGGGACAAGGGTAAGAAGTCGCATGCCGGGCATGCTTCTCCCCAACTGTGTGACCCTGGGCAAGCCGCTCGCCCTCTCTGGTCACTACACTCATCAGCTAGAATATCCCCTACCACACAGAGTGAAAGCTAATTAGAGAGACCCTTGGTTTCATTCTCAATGTGAAGTTCAAAGACTCCCCATAACTACCAGGGCCCTGCACCCCTGCCCTGTCCTCTCCCTGCCCTCCCCTCCTTCCTCTGCTCTAGCCACAGGGGCCTCCTCGCTCATTCCTCCAATACACCCAAGCCCAGTCCTGCCCCAGGGCCTTTGCACAGGCTGTGCCCTCGGCCTGGAATACCCTCCCTTCCTTGCTCTCTCAGGGACAGTAGAACCTCCTCACCTTCCCTATCTCCCTGTCAACCTCACGTCTTCCAGGAAGCCCTTCCTGGACTTATGTCCATCTCCCCATCTTCTGTCTTCTTCATAGCGGTTACATTTTGTGAATCTTCTTTCTCTACTTACTTGTCTCTCTCTTCTCCCTAGCGGTGCCCTGTCTATAGGGCTGGCCCCTAGTCAAGTGTGGCTATTTAAATTTAATCGAGTTAAAAATTCAGTCCCCTGCAAGTTCTCAGTAGCCACATGGGCCAGCGGGCACCATATTGGGCACGGTTGATCTAGAACATTCTCGTCACTGCAGAAAGTTCTAGAAGACAGCCCCACATGGGCACCTACATTCCTCCCGAGCAGGGACTCCCGCTACCTATTGTTCTGTGATGAGCCGTCAGTCACAGAAACACTTCCTGTAAATACAGAGTTTCTAACTTTTGCAGCAACGTTAGCACTCATGAGGAAAAAGGCTCTTGAAGAAGCTGGACTGCGTGCATGACCTCACGCGCCCAGAGGAAGCAGAACCGAGTCAAGGAAAGGGTGTCCCCAAACCCCGCTCCCAAGGCCTGAGGAAGCAGCCCCTCCAGGCTGTCTGGGGGCTGCTCACCGCCAAGTTCATGCTCTCCACCTGTGCCGCCAGGTGAGGGGGGAACCTGAGGGGAAGAGAACCCAGCAGAGCTCAGGAGGCCTCCTGGGAGCCAGCCCCAACCCCGCCCGGCCCGGCCAGCCCCCTCTTCACAATTAGGCAAGTGCAGTGTTTTTAAACATATAATCAGTGCAAGTAAATTCACGCTAAACAAGGACAACTCGGAAATTTAAATGAAGGCCAGGATGGGTATTGGTGGCTTTCCTTTCGCTTTGGGCTCCCCCATTCCTAGTTCTGTCTTTCGGGCCAGGGGCTTCTGGCCACCCCCCACCCCACCCCGAGGGACCAGAGGGGACGCTCTCCCTCCCTCTGTGGGCCACAGGGGGACCTCCAGTCCCCAAGAGTCACCCTCACCTGGGGAACTCTCGCCGGAGCTGATCCAGGACAGCCCGACAGCTCAGTTCAGAAGGAGCCTGGGAAGGTGACAAGAGGTGATCCGCACACCACCCCCCTCCCCCACCTCCCTCCTTCCACCCTCCAGCCACAACCCCAATCAGCCCCCCCAGGGGGTGCGCTGGGACCTCCTGAAACCTGAAGGGACTTAAGTCCCCAAGGAGTAGCCTCTGTTTTGCCTCTTGGCCTAAAGTCTCAAATCCGGAGTCTCTGGAGAGCCCTTGAGAGAAAGAAGCTGGCCTGGCCCAGCCCCAACTATTGGAAAGGGTCATCTGTGCAGGAGGGGGGCTTCTGCTTGCAGAATACTAGCAAGGACAATGTGGTCATGTGCTTTAACACCTGGGTGATGAGAAGCAGGTTTAATTTAAAAAGAAAGTGCCCTGGCACCTGTCAGTAGGTGTGGTGGGTTAGAGCCCTGCAGTCAAAAGGCCTGGCCACCTGCCTGCGTCCCTCCATCAGCAGGAGAGCGAGGTTTGAGCCCAGCTTCCAGGCTCATATCCCCCAACACAGGGGTTAAGGACCTCCTCACCAGAGTTCCTGGGGGCCCCATCATCCCTGGAGGGTGCTTCTGGGGGCTAGGATGGCCCCAAGAGGTGATCTTCAGGCAGGGGGCCCAAGGACTCTAAAATAACAAGGAGAGACGCAGGTCCTGAGAGCAGAAGTCTGGGCAGCCAGGGACAGAATCAATCCCCCCCCAACCCCTCCCCCAGCCTCCCCTCCAGGACACAGTCCTGGATCCCCACCCCCTCCCTGACTTCTAGCACCCCACTGCGTGCCCTATATACTCTCTGTTCATTTGTCAAACTCTGGTGCCTCTGGCTGCCCCAGCTAGTAGTGGGCTCCAGGGACGTCCTTCTATGATGTGGAGGGAGACAGTGACAAGACTCACACTCCCTGCCAGGAACTGTCACCGCTGGGGGACCCCAGGTTAGGACGCTAAAACTCAACCTTGGTTTTGAGACAATTTCCTAAAACATGGATGAAGATCATTGGGAAGGGGTTTTGAAGGATGAGTAAGAGTTGGCCAGGTGACTTAGGAGGAATTTTCAGACAGGAGGAAAGAGACCTCTCTCCACCCGGTCACTCCTGCGCTAAGCCCCTTCTTTGCTTCGCTTCTACCCCGTCCGCCCGAGGGGGGGGGGGGCGCTGGGGTCCTCCAGGAGACCCGCCTGCCTACTCACCTCCCTTAGGATGGCGGCCCAGGACAGCGAGGAGGAAACCGCGGAGGGTCAAAAGAGTTCAGGCCCAGAACGAAGACCCCTCCGCACCTCCCCTCCTCCCGGGGACCCTTTGACCCGTCGGGCCCCGCCCCGGCCAGCCCCGGCCCCGCCCCCGCCCGCCCCGGCCCCGCCCGGCCCCGCAGCCACCTGCACCACGAGGACGATCAATGAAAGAGCAGCAGCTGCACGTGGGCTCGGACACCGCGGGCGGCCGCTACAGGCACTGGCCAATCACTAGGCCACTTACCCACGTGGGCCGCAGGCGCTTTCGCTGATTGGCCGGCTCTCCCCAGCCGCCGGCCTGGCTGTCAATCAGGGCACCCGGCGCCTGAGCTTAACCCTTGCGGTACCGCTGTAGGGAAGGGCAGCGTGCAGAGCCAAAGGCACTTTGGGGTCCAGACTGGGGCGAGGATATTGAGAAGGGCTTGGGGCTTGGGGTCAGAGGGTGCAACCTGGGAAGGGGCTGGGCGGCGTGTAGTTGCATTGTTTAGTGAAAAGCTGGGCCGTTTTTAGCGGGGCCGGATCGGCTTAGGGCTAGGGGTGGGGCTAGGCGTCTGGGCAGAAACCTTAGCCCTCATTCCAGGGCTTCTACAGGGCCTGACAACGTTTACCTCAATATTAGTAACGCAGCTCAAAGGAAGCTTCAAGCCCCTATACTGGGGAAAACTTAGCATCTCCCTTTCATCGGGCAACAAGCCTGTGGCTCTGTATTTCTGTCTATGAATTCTCCCAGCTGTCCCCCAAGCCCAGGATCTGAGAACCAAATGCAGGGACTGCAGAGGCCTTGAAACTGGCACAGTTCTTCCAGGCTCAAGGCCAGGGTAGGAAGGGGTGGTGGGTATTCCAGGCCTGGGGATGATAGAAAGATAAGGGGCTGGGGTTGTAGGAGGGTGTCCTGGGATTCTAGACTTGTGCTCTGCCCCCCCTCCCCCCCACCCCGTTTGCACTGCCTACCCGCCCACCCCAGGGTCTTTGCACTAACCATTCCCTCCTCCACCAGGAATAGTCTCCCCCTGACAGCCACTGGCTTGCTCCCTCCTGCTCAGAGGCTGCCACTTCTGAAGACCTCCCCTCACATCCCTTTTAAAAATGAACTTCCACCACCCCGCCTCTCCCTTACTTAATTTTTCTCCAAACATGGTTAGAGTTGGCCCTAATCTTGTTGTAATCTTAGTAGCTGTAAGTCCTGCTGTGTTCAGAATTCACCTGGGGAGGGAGGCTGGGGTGAGAGCCACGGGAGGGAGAGGATGCTCTGCTAGCCCCTCTTCTGTGCTTTGCCTGGGGAGGGGCACACAGTTCAGGTCTTGGGATGCGGTCCCCGGAGGTTATCATGTAAACACACAACTGGGGTTTTGTGGATGGTCTATGGAGGGCAAAGTGAGGGCTGCCAGGTGTGAGCCACAAAAAAAAAAGGTTTTCACCCACGATCCCTCCACTGGCCCTTAATTGAAGCATATTTTATTTATGAGACGGTCAGCTAATTGCCTCTGTGCACTTGGCTCTCTTCCTCCCGTGGTTGCTGGGCACACCAGCTTATCCGAGGCGGCCTCACCCAGTATCCACTGGGTACCTGTGGCAATTTAAATTAAAACAAATGAAAAGGAAACAGAATTAAAAACTCAGGTCCTTGGGCTCAGTGTCCTCATGTCATTTGCTCAGCAGCCACACGTGGCTGGGGATGACCATCCCCACGGGAGAGTGCAGATCTAGAACATTCCCACCCTGGCAGAAAGTTCCAGCGGGCGGGACAGGTCTGAGGTCTAGATCCGCGCACAAGTCAGAAGCATTTCACAGGAGCCGTCCTACGTTTTCCTGCTGAAGCCTACAGGTGGGTGGGGTAGGAGCTGGAACAGCGGGCCCTGTCCTTTCTTTCACTGTCCCCCAAGTCCCTCAGTCTGGCCTGTAGGGTAGGGTCGCAGCCTTCCCTGAGCCCTCTGGAAGGCCTAGGACACAGCAGAAAGGAAGGGAGGCAGCAAAGATTTCCTTCTTGGTTTTTGAGTTGTGGCCTCGGAAGCCCCAGGTCTGGAAGAGAAGGGTTTGCATTTCCAAAGCTGTGGAATTCCCTGGCAGGCCCTGGCAACCTCAGACCAGGCCCCCAGAGGCCCAGGGTTACGTGGGTTGGGTGCAGGCCAGGCAGAAGGCTCAAGGGAAAGCCCGGGGTACAGAAGGGGCCAAGCAGTGACCACAGGGTGGTGGTGGCAGCAGGGAAGCGGTGACCACTTTCTATCCCCTGACACCCCTGTTCTCTCCCCCATCCCCAGGACATGCCAGTGGCCCCCGGCCCCCTGTAGACAAATGACAGAGGGGAAGCAGCAGGTGCAGAAAGCCTGTAGGTGGAAGGACCCTGGTGTCCAGTCAGTGGATGAATGACCGAGAGGCGGAAGGACAGGGACCCCCCAAAGACCGTGGCCGCGCCTGGTGATGGATACTGGATGGCAGGATGGCCCTCAGCTGCCCTGCCCTCAGAGGCTGCTGGAATGCCCTTGAACTTAGACTTGGCCCCAGGAAAAGTGAATTTATTGAATTACCCAGAATTGATGGAAATTTGCCTTCTGCCATCTGGTGGAGAGAGGCTGTTCATTTCCGGGGCTGCTTTGACAAATGACCGCACGCCAGTGGCTTCAAACAGCGGACATCTATTCTGTTGTGATCGGAGGCCAGAAGCCCAAGCCCCAGGCGTCCAGGGCTCTGCTCCCTCCGCAGGCTCCTGGGAGGATCCCTCCGGGTTGGGGGGTGGGGGCACCAATCCTTGGCGTCCCTCGGCCTCTAGACACATCCCTCCAGTCTTGGGTCTTTCCCCGGTGTGTGTCTGGTGTCCGAAGTCCCCTCTGCTTGTAGGACACCAGTCCCCGGACTTCAGGCCGCCCTGCTCCAGTACGACCTCAACCCTAGCAATTTCACCTGAAATCATCCTATTTCCAAGTAAGGTCACATTCCCATGTACTGGGAAATTAGGACCCAAGCAGACCTTTTTGAAGGGCACCATTCTACTCTCAACAGGCTCAGAAGGAAAAATGGAATAGATGCACACACACCCCCCATCTGCCATGAATCTGGCCAGCTTCACTCACCTCCCCGGGTCACAGAGCGACTAGAAGACTAAGGTAGGATTTGAACCTGGGTCATCTGGCTGTGGGATGTACCCTCGTAACCCTGATGCCATAATGCCCAGATCTAAGTTAGGTTCCTGCCATCGAACTGCCCACGTCGCAACATGAGGTGGGGGACCGCCACCCCCAGGGACCCGAGCTCAGAGGAAGGTGCATCCGTCCCACAGCGGCCTTTTGGATCCCCAGACCCGGCTGTCACTTCTGGAGACACCCAGATGGATTAGGTAGCCACCGCTGCATCACAAATTGTCCCCAAAGTTAGTGGCTTGAAGGAAAAGCCCTGATCATGTCCCAGGGATTCCGGTGGTCAGGAATCCGGGGGTGGCTTTGCTGGGTCACTTCTGGGGGCGCTGACCAGCTGCTGTCTGCACTTCAGCTGCTCTGTCCCCCTTCCTGGTGAATGCGTTCTGCCAGCCGGAAGCGGGTTTGAAAATCTCAGTGAGACCCTGTCCAGCGTCACTCTGTCTCCCGGGACTGTCCCTGACCCTACTCACCACCCAGTGGGTTTTTGTTTTTCTCACCAGCCGGTGCTTCGTTGTTGTACTTGGTTCTTCTTTCTCTATGTGTGTGTGTGTGTGTGTGTACATACGCGTGTGCATGTCGCTGAGAGGGTGGCTGGGTGGGTGACACACGCATCCATTCAGGGGCCTTTCTCCTGCTTATTTTCCCCAAATGTCTTTGTCTCAGTTGTGGGGTCCAAAGCGGCTTTCACCTCCCCGCTCCCCGGAGCCTGCACACTTCCGACACGCTTCCCCGTCGGGGCTGGGCAGGGGGAGGTGACCAGGGTGTCATCTGACCGGCGAGTGGTGTGCGTAGCCCTTTGTCCAATCCTTCGCGTTCGTCCCAATTTACACTTTGCCTCGAAGGGAGCTTTCCTCTGGGACCCGGGGCAGAGACACACGTGCCCTGGATGAGGCGCCAGCGTCGCGGCTTCCGACACTCGCCCATCCAGCCAGCTCGTGTCCGGTCAGGACCAGGAGTGACCACGGCGGGCTCACCGGGGCGCCGGGCTGCGGCTGGCTTCCCAGCGGACTCGCAGCGGGCCCGTGTTCATCCCAGCGATGTCATCCCAAGGCAGGCAGTGGCCTTGACCCAGGGAGCACCCAAGGCAGGGAGAGGCCGCAGAGGCCTATCCTGAGGGTCCAGCGCATCGCCTCCGGAGGTGGGCAGCGGGGAGGGCGGATCCCCCGCTCGACCTGCGCCCAGGCCGCTTCTGAGTCGAACCTGTGGTCTCCGGCGCCCTCTGCTGGCCACGTCTTGAATTACAGCGCCGTCGCCGCGTCCTTTCTCGCCCGTGGGGTCACCTGTTTCACAGCACGCCCTGCGCTGTCGCAGGATCTTTAGTAAATTTGTCCGGTGGCACAACCATCACCACAGCCGAATCTTGGAACATCCCCATCACCTCGGACGTGTCCCTCCGGTCCGTTAGGAATCACCCCCAGCTTCCTCTCCCTGGAGAATCTCCTTTTCTAGAAACGTCCCTCGCATGGGCTTCTAAGTGTGAGTCTTTTGTGTCTGGCTTCCCCTGGGTGGAGGTTTGCCTGTTTGCAGTTTGGGCGGCGGCGGACACAGCTGTGGCGGACGTCCACGCAGGTGTCTGTGTTGGAAGGGGTCGATGCCTGTGTGTCCCTGGGGTCGATGCCTCCCCGTGGAGCCGCGAGGTGTGGTGTGGCAGCGGGTCTGTCCACCGTCTTCTGAGGCTTCCAGGCTTCTCCCCAAAGTGGCGGCACCGTGTTGCCTTTCCACCAGCTGTGTATGAGCCGTGACTTGTTCTACGCGCTCTCAGTGGGGAAACTTCTAAATGAGGGGATTCCCCGTGGCAGGACCCTCGTCCTTCTCCAAAGGGTCTCCTGGTGGCCAGCTGGTCCTCACCAGGCCCCGGGCTCCCTGCTGCAAGCCGGAACTTCACTTCCGCCTATCTGCTGAGACTGGATGCCAGGGGGGTTTGGGATGTCCCCGCCCCGCCCCGCATCCTTGCGGTGGGTAAGGACCTCTCCCTCCCGTGGCTCCCTCTGTTTATCCATCTTTCCAGTATCACTGTCTACTGATACTTTTTAAAACGTTCCTCCAAAGAACTGCACGGACGCATCGCTTCTAAGCACAAAACAGACCCGAAGATTTCAAATGGAAAATTACCGTCCCAGCTGCTGCGTCCTCGGCGGGGCTCCCTGGCCTCTGCCACTCATCCCACAGTCGTGGTTCTCCAGCTGGCGGGCACCACGATGGCCTGGGGGGGTGTTGAAATGCAGACCACTGCGCTCCAGCCCCCAGAGTTCCTGATGCAGGGAGTCTGCCGTGGGGCCCGGGAATCCACATTTTTAGGACGCTCCTTGGAGACACCCAGCGGCAGGTGCAGAGACCTGTGGAGAGCCCCGCTCTACGCGGCGTGGCCACGAGGGGCCGAGGGCCTCCACGTGGTGATGGCTTTGCTCCGTCACACCGAACCCTGTCTCCCCGACCGCCTCCCTCCCTTACCATCGAGTTTAGTTACGTGGACCGTGGACCGTGGGCATTGATGTCCCATGACCGTAAGCACCGTGACCCGTAAACACCGCCGTGTTTTGGGCTCTGCAGTCCAGGGGGCTGTAGCGATGTGCTGGCAGAACCGGGGACATGGGTGTCTCATTTTCTTTGAGTTAAATTAATTAAAGTTTAGGGGCACCTGGGTGGCTCAGTCCTTACGCGTCTGCCTTCAGCTCAGGTCATGATCTCAGGGTCCTGGGATGGGGCCCCGCATTGGGCCCCCTGCTCTGCAGGAAGCCTGCTTCTCCCTCTCTCACTCCCCCTGCTTGTGTTCCCTCTCTCACTGTCTCTGTCTGTCAAATAAACAAACAAAATCTAAAATAAATAAATAAATAAAAGTTTAAATTTTAAAAATGACCCTGAATTAGGGCGGCTTAGGGTCCCGGCGTGCCCGGCAGGGTGTACGGGGCCAACCAGGACCTGGCAGTCACCCCAAACATATAGGAAAATGTTTCCGTTTGGAACAGTTCGGGTATGCGAATCTGTCTGCGGTAGGTTTTGTGACACCTGAATGCAGATCAAAGATTTGCGATGATAATTAAGTGTCTGAATCGAGTGTGTGATGCACTGGGGATTTCGAAGACTTTGTACCCAAAAAAAGGGTAAAATGCTCATGAATATTTTTCATACTGATTATGTTTGAAAGGAGACTTTCAGACCAAATGGGTGAAATATGCTGTTAAAGTTAATTTTACTTTTTTCTTTTTTTGTTTAAAAATTTTTTTTATTTTAAAGATTTTTATTTATTTATTTATTTATTTATTTATTTATTTGACAGACAGAGATCACAAGGAGGCAGAGAGGCAGGCAGAGAGGGAGGGGGAAGCAGGCTCCCCGCTGAGCAGAGAGCCCGATGTGGGGCTTGATCCCAGGACGCTGGGATCATGACCTGAGCCGAAGGCAGAGGCTTTAACCCACTGAGCCATCCAGGCGCCCCTACTTTTTTCTTTTTAAAAAATGTGTCTAGAAAAAAAATTTGAAAGATTTTCCTTATTCACATTAGAGGTAGATGGAGAGACAGAGCGAGAGCATGGGCAGGGGACTAGCGGGGAGAGGGACAAGCAGTCTCTGCACTGAGCACAGAGCCCCATAATGGGCTCAATCCTGGGACCCCGAGATCCTGACCTGAGCCAAAACCAAGAGCCACATGCTGAACCCAGAGCCAGCCAGGTGCCCCCAGGGGATTTTACGTTGTATGTGTAGCTCACAGCGCACTTTCCTGGAACACCTCTGCTCCAGGGGGCAAATTTTTCAACCTCCTCTTCCTCTGTTTGCTCATGATTTGTTTCATAAGAAACTCGTTGAGCTGTAATTCCCATACCGTGCAATTGACCTAGTTAGCGTAAAATTCAGTACTTTTTTAGTACATTCGCAGGGTTGTGCAACACACCACACCATAATCGACTCTAGAACATTCCCTCACCCCAAAAAGAAACCTGTCTCCATCAGTAGTCACCACCCTCCCTTCCCCCCAGCCCCCGGCCCCCACGAGCCCCTTCCCATCCGTGGAGGAGCCTGGTCTTGGCGTGTCACACACATGGACTCACACCCCGTGTGGTGTCCTGTGTCTGCTTCCCTCCCTGTGCATCATGGGCTCGGGGTCCATCCCGGGGCCGCGCGGGGGCCTCCCCCTACTCCTGGGAGGGGACGCTCTCGTTCACCACTTCACAGACACGTGGGGGCTCACTTCAGGGTTCAGTTGCCTTTTTCTTCCTTTTTCCTTCTCCTTACAACATATTCCTTTTAAAAAAAGATTTTATTTATTTATTTGACAGAGAGAGACAGTGAGAGAGAGAACACAGGCAGTGGGAGTGGTAGAGGGAGAAACAGATCCCCACTGAGCAGAGAGCCCGATGCAGGGCTCAATCCCAGGACCCCCGGATCTTGACCTGAGCCGAAGGCAGAGGCTTAGCCATCTGAGCCCCCCACGTGCCCATCCTTACAATATATTCTTAAGAAACAGCCATTTAAACATTGAGTGGAACCCTGTCCGTCCCCTGCCCCATTCTCCTCCCAAAGCTCTCCCTCGGACTCAGAGCCCAAGTCCTCAGAGGGCTTTTGAAAGCCCTGCAGGGGGGGCGCCTGGGTGGCTCAGTGGGTTAAGCCACTGCCTTCGGCTCAGGTCATGATCCCAGGGTCCTGGGATCGAGCCCCACATCGGGCGGGCTCTCTGCTCACTAGGGGGCCTGCTTCCTCCTCTCTCTCTGCCTGCCTCTCTGCCTACTTGTGATCTCTCTCTCTGTCATATAAAAAAAATTAAAAAAAAAATTAAAAAAAAAAAAAGAAGAAAGCCATGCAGGGTCTTTACCACTTTCTGATTAATCCCGGCTTACAGTCTGCTCCCTCCAGCCACACAGACCTTCCTGCTCTTGCTCACAGGCTGGCACAGGACCTTTGCACTGCCTGTCTGCTCAGCTGGAACCCTCTTGTCCTTGACGGCACTGTGACTCGCTCCCTCAAGTACTTCCTGTTTTAGCTCGGTCACCTCTTCAGAGTGGCCGTCCCTGACCCCACCTACAGGAACCTGCACCCTACCTCAGCCCGAGGAGTCTCCTTCCGGTCCCCTCATCCTGTTTGCACACCAATTTCACCGTCGGGCACCAGTGTATTAATTTGGACACTCGGAGGCAAGAGTCCTTGGAAACCATTCCAGAAGCTATTACAGTGGACGCTTCTTGCCTGAAGCAGGCTTTGTACCCCGAGTGCTCCCCACATTCGCCAGTGGGCCCTGTGTCCTGCTGTAAGCGAGAGCCTTCCCTTTCCCCCATGAATCTATTTATTATTGATGTGGACACACAGAGTCCCCTTTTTTAAAAAAAGATTTTATTCTTTTATTTGACACAGAGAGAGAGAGAGGTCCAAGCATGCAGAGAGGCAGGCAGAGAGAGAGCGGGAAGCAGGCTCCCCGCTGAGCAGAGAGCCCAACGCGGGGCTCGATCCCAGGACCCTGAGACCATGACCTGAGCCGAAGGCAGAGGCTTAACCCACTGAGCCACCCAGGTGCCCCCCATTTTTTTAGTGGCTTCTAATTCATCGTTCTTCTTCATTTTGTGGATGGTCCCATGGTCTAAGGGTTGCCCGGATTTCAAGCGGGTTTCTCTGCTTTTCTGATGCCCCAGCATTCTTCCGAGCACCTCCTGGCTGGCAGGCAGGACTGGAGGGTCCAGGCTCCTGTTCCTCTGCCACCCCAGCCCTGGGATCCTCTCTGTAAACATGCAGATTTCTGAGCCCCAGCCCAGCAGGTAGGGGAGCAGGGGAAATTAGGGATTCTTCAGAGAGTGAGGATCTTTTTAGAAAGTTTCCTGCTGGGAGAGGGTGGCCTGAGAGCCCGGAGGGAGGGGGAGTGAATATAAAGAGTGTTCTGGGAGACCCTTGTGGTGTCCCGAGTGTTCTGGATCTTGGCTGTGGCTGCATGAAGCTACCTGGTTCGGTAAGTGTATGGAGCTTACACACACACACACACACACGCACGCGCACACACACACACACACACACACACACACACACTGGAAGGGTCGCATCAATGTCAAT